TTAAGGGATTATTAGTAATGTAGACTCCTGCGCAGGGAGGGAAAGGGATTGTTAGTAATGGGGAGGTTAGTCGCCATTCCCTATCAATATACCTTATCAGGGCGACCTCCATGCGGTTTCCCCTGGAAACCATCGTAACTAATTTATCGTTGAATTCGTCACGATGGGCTTTTCATCTTCACCAATCATCCCTCACTGGTGCCCCGCCAGTGTATACCGATAACGCAAGCGGGATTATCATTTCACTGTCATCCATTAAAAAAATCCCAAATACCTACTATGTGTACATACCAAACTTCATGACGATTGACTGAGTTAAGGCTTTAAGAGGTAACAAACAAACTCACTTTCACATATATAATAATATTACATCAATCTCTTTGATGCTTTGTATCATACTTTTCTACATTGTTCAATAGCTGGTTGCATAATATATCCATCAATTCCGTATCCCGCCATGTTATTGTTTACAATGAGCCACGCTCGCTGATTGGTTGGAGTTGCGCATGCGCAGCCGTTTTGTTCTCTCATTCGTCAAGCTGCGAACGTCCCAGTTTGAAATTAGAAACATCTGACTCAGACGCGGGCAAATGAGCTGAATATGGCACCCAAGGGAGGGTCGTTGTTATTTTAAGAGATTATGTTGAACGACTACTTAAGTCCATGTAATAAATATATATTTACTTTATTTAGTACTGGTGACCCGCTCTGGATTTACGTGGACTGATAAATATAAATTTTGCGTAAATTAAGAAAAAGAGAAAAAGTAAAAATATATATTGATATTTCTCAGTACATCACAAAAAAATCTTAATAATAAAAAAATAAGTAAAAAGATTTTTTTTATACAACTTAGAATGGTTAACAAGCTGACAACCCAGCTGATGGAAAGTGTTAACCGTCGCCTAAAGACATGAGCAGTACCATGGACATAACAGAGTATACTGTTTCGCCCATAATACCTCCCATGCGTTGCCATTCCTGAGGACTTAGGTGTTATTCCTTTGTACCCTGTAAATTCACGGCATATCCCACCCTTCAAACCGAAACACAGCCATGCAAACACATGACGGTAGAAACACAAATAGGACAGAGGTACCCAAGCAATTACTTTTGTACAAAGTCTCCCTCTGGTAGGTAAAAAGATGAAAAATACTAAAATAGTACTATTTAGCTATATGCCACCATATCCTGTTAGGATGGTATGCTGGTTTTAAAACAATAATGCAATTAAACTTCATTTAATCCATTTTTTTATTCAGTAGTTTTAGATAAATTATTGGAAATGATCATCTCAGCGGCTTTTACGTAGGGCAGATAATACCAATAACTATTATAGGTGGGCCATATAGAGCAATATCTGTATATTTTAGTTACAGTATGTATATACTGGCCCAATAACAAATATGTTAAAAGTCTGTTATCCAAAAAATATCATTGTATAATAGATTTTTAATATATTCGAAAATAGATATGCAACCGATATGGACGATATCGAAATGGGCGATGACCTTTTTTTGCCATCAAGATTCAGAGGAATCGAATGTACAGATATCGGATCAGCATCTATATTACCTGTGCCTAATAATTATAACTAAGTAATATAATATATACAGTATAATTCCAATAGTTTAAATTAATTTATTAATTAATTTAACATTTAATTTACTATACGTATAAACTTTACGTAGATATCTTAAAATGTAGGCTAAGTTAGTAATATAATTAATAGAATCTATTAATTTCCAATTTACCTGTTTTTCTTTAATTATTTTTTTAATTAGGTAAATTGTTGCTCCTATGTGTTTATAATTTGAGATAAATTTTGACAATTAATAAAATAGAACAAGGAAAATTTTGTTTAAAAATTTATTTTGTTATTACTACATATTATAAAACAAAGTCGCTGTCGCTGTCTGTCCGTCCCTATGTATGCTTAAGTCTTTAAAACTAAGTAACGGATTTTGAAGCGGTTTTTTTAGTAGATAGATTGATTCAAGAGGAAGGTTTATATGTATAATACATGCATAATATTGTAGAGAAACATTGATAAATTTAGAGGTTTCTAATGTGATGGATGCAATGTAATGTGCACCCGTGCGAAGCTGGAGCTAGTATACAAATAAACGCGAGTATTTTCAACTGATTAAAAAAAAAGGAAAGTTTTCAATTCGTTTATATGTTATTTTGTGTTTGTTACCTCATAACTTCGTCAATTGGAAACCGATTAGGAAAATCCTTTATCTGAAAAGGTATACTTAAAGATTGATGCTGTAGAAATTTTATCAAAATTTTTTTATGTAACTTAGAATGTTAAACACCTGATGGAAAACGGTAACCGTCGTCTATAGACATGAACAGTACCATGATTACCAAAATTGATTCTGTAATTAAGGTTTTAAATCAAAATAACTCATTGCCACAATTAAAGTAGTTTTTTTTCGTGGAACACAATCTCAGTTATTGGAGTATTATAAAGAATCATTTACGCAATCTCTGGGGCTTCTAAACTTCGGGGCATCCGGAATTCTGATAAAGACATTCCATCCGTTATGTAGAGTCATACATGTGAGAGTAATATCGGAATCATGTCACGTTTTAGTGTGCATACATTACGGTGTCATATTGTTTCATACGGCACACTTAAAAACTATTAAACAACTTATTAAATAACAGTGAAGTTCCTACTTTTTGAAGTATATACATATACGAGGTCTGTCCGGAAAGTTCGTATAAAAGTGTTCTGGAATGCGAGAAAGAGGAGTGGGGAGGCCAGGTTATATATAACAATGCTTCAGTTCTGGTCTGACCGCCGTGCGGTGCGACTGGCTTGTCACGCCATCTGTGAAGTTACCTCTTAACGAAACCCCGTCGGCATGGAGCCCGCTTCCGTTGAAGAGCAGCGCGTCGTAATCAAGTTTCTCTCGAAACTCGGCAAGAATGGCCGTGAAATTTTTGCCGATCTCAGAACATTTTATGGGGATGATGCTGTGAAGGAACCAACCGTCCACAAGTGGCTAAAAAGATTCAGAGAGGGCCGAGACAATGTTGATTGTTTTCGATGTTCGGGGATTGTCCATCAAGAATTCGTCCCTCCAGGCCAGACAGTTGATGGAAAATTCTACGTCGATGTGCTCAGACGCCTCAAAGCTCGTGTGGCACGAGTTCGTCCAGAATTGGCGCGAGAGGGGCGTTGGATTCTTCACCACGACAATGCCCCTGCCCACACCTCTCTTGTTGTCCGTGAGTTTTTGAGTAAAAATTCCATTACGGTGACCGAACACCCCCTATTCGCCGGATTTGGCCCCGTGTGACTTCTTCTTGTTCCCAAAAACCAAATTGGTACTTCGGGGGCGGCATTTGGGGGACATAAATGAGATAAAAAAAGCTACGACGGGGCAGCTGAGAAACCTACAACCAGAGGACTTTCAAGGAGCCTTCTCACAGTGGAAACGGCGTTGGCACAAGTGCATTATGTCACAGGGGAAGTACTTTGAAGGGGATAAAATTGATTTACCTGAATAATTGTAAAATAAAATTTTTAAAAAACTTTTATACGTACTTTCCGGACAAACCTCGTATATATACTTACCTACGCAATATATCTGATAATAATATAAAACATATCTGAAATAATTTATTTATTTAATAACTGTATTGACCAAAATAAAATATGGTACAAAAGGCGCACTTAATGTTAGTAGCATTTTTTTTTTTATATACAACATAGAATGGCAAACAAGCTGACGGCCCACCTGATGGAAAGTGGTAACCGTCGCCTATAGACATGAGCAGTACCATGGACATAACAGAGTATTCTGTTTCGCCCATGATACCCCCATGCGTTGCCATTCCTGAGGACTCAGGTGTTATTCCTCTGTACCCAGTAAATTCACGCCATATCCCACCCTTCAAACCGAAACACAGCCATGCAAACACTACTGCTTCACGGTTGAAACACGAATGGGACAGAGGTACCCAAGCAATCGACTTTTGTACAAAGTCTCCCTCTGGTGCTCTCTTCAAATCAATCTTTGGGATGAACAGTGAATCACGAACGCGGTACTTCATTGTAGGGGTACGTAAAGAAAAATGACTAATAATGTATAACTATATAAAAAATAATATGACCATGATATCGACATCTTTAGTAATTCTTTAGTGCAGTTTACTAGGCTTATTAATAATATGGATTGGTAATTAGGTCTTCTCTAATTGTATAATTGTTACTTAGTATACATTGACGCTTATCTGTGAGAGCTGTACACACACTGTATACACCTTTAATTGATGTGTTCATTAGGCCTTAAGCTTGGTAGTGAGGAGTGAGATGTTTTCGTTCAAGTAAACTTAGATTCAAGCATTTTTGAGTAGTAGTTTTTCACTTTTACTTACTTATAATACATTATTCACGTACATTGTCTGCTTAATTGTTGTGAGCATATTGTTGGTGTGTCTTTTATAAATAAATAAATATATATAAATAAAACATAAAAGATGATGACCAGTTACTATTGTTGTAATGAATTCATAAGGTGAGAATGGGCTCTTCTTTTGAACATGAATTTATTTGGAAACTCTCGGATACCTTCAGGCAGTGCATTCCAGAGTCGTGAAGGTGGGATGGATGGATTAAAATAATCATATAGAATGTTCGAAGAATGCTAACAGACATTGCATAATGCTATAAAATATATCCATAGATAAAAAATGTAAAAAAATTGCTAATTTATTTAACAGAATCTATATGAAGATATTAAACACATATTTTCTGTAAAAATTTATAACTAAGTACGTAAAATTAACATAAATTGCAAAAAAAAGTTTGCTTACACTTTAATTATTTTTTTTTGTATGATGGTGGCGTAAAGAATAATTTATGTTTTAAATTTCATATAAACATATACGTGAAACTTAACTATCTATTACATATATATAATAAATAATATATAAATTTCAAAAATTGAGAAATATTTTTATTTTATTTTTTATTGTTTCAGATAATAGGAGAAAGAGAATATGCCGTAAGGCCTACAAGAAGGCCATCTGAAGAGCTACAGACTGGACAACCTTTAGACGTAGTTATACAACAGGTAAGTTATTAGAATTATTTATAGACTCTTACTAGCCACGCCCGCGTCTTTACTTGACGGGAGATATCTATGGGTTCACCGGGATAAAACAAATATAAGTATTACAAATTTTAACTAAGTATTATTGAATTTTACATTTAACTGTACGGTTTTTACCCTTGAACATTCTATAGTTTTCTTTCAGCTTCTCAAATGTTGACTGTAAGAAATCCCTTTATGGGATAAATCCACCATTGTATATTAATTAAATCTTTTAATGTGACATTGTCATTAAATTATGAACAATAAAGATTTTACAGTACAATATCTTCAAATATCATAATGATTTTAGGCCGTTATGTGATATCTAAATGAAAACAAGCAAATTTCCTTTCAGATGTATAATATTAAGGCATAGAATGGGCCACCCCTTCCTTTCCCATGGGTATCGTAAGAGGCGGCTAAGGGAACTTAATGGTCGAGGGATGGGCAGCAGTGTCCCTCTTAAAACATCACCAAAGACTAACTGCGGTTGCCAACCTCCCCTTCAAGCGTGGCCATTATTAACAAAATACCCCTTATGGGAAAAGTTTATGTTCAGCAGTGGACAGTTAACGGCTCATATAATAACAATATAATAAATAACATGGTTATGTACAAAAAGACAATACTATTTTTGGATCGAAAAAATAATAATAATAAACTCTTTATTGCGCACAGTAGAGATGTATACAAGGAGTATTTATACAGAATGTATATATACAAAAGGCGGCTTTATCGCTAAAAGCAATCTCTTACAGACAACCTGGCATAAAGAATGGATACGTACAGAGAGAAAGGTAGATGGCGCAAATCAGACACAGTAAATACATAAAAGGAATCAAACAAATTGCAATATATTCTAAATATAGAACTATTTAGCTATATCTCTCCGTGAATTCTTCCACGTATAATTTCTAATATGTTTTTGTATTATGCTCTAACGTCAAAATTTTCATACAAATCGATCAATCAATCAATCAATCAATCAATTTATTCATATACATCTGTTACAGATACTTATGATACGTCACTTTATAATTATAATAATTACTATATAAAATAATATTGAGTTAAGAAAAATTACAATAATTACATTTACAATACAATTCACATTAATACAAAATTCAAATCCATGCAGTTTTGTCATTTAGATAGTAATTTAATTTATAATATGCTTTTGTACAGAGAGTCCTTTTTATATATGTCTTAAATTTTCTTTCATTTAAATGTAAAACGTCATCCACCAGATCCAGCAGTTAATGTATTGCTGGTCGAAACGTTCTTATATTTTATCTCGATATTCTCTGCAGTGTAATATATTTTATATTGTTTTAATCTTTTTCTTAATCACTATTAAACTTCTAAACGTGGCGTGGGGTCATACAGAATGGTTGCAATTATCGTTAGTACCTATTGAACAAATTATTGAGGTCAAGAGTGCGTTTTATGTAGTAAAATAAAGTGCGATATGATGTTTCTTTTTTAATTGATGATAATGGAGTGGTAACCCCGCCTGCGCTAACAGTATACGCTGGCGGAGTACCAGTGAGGGATGATAAGTGAGAATGAAAGAACAGGTCAGTTTTTTTTTTGATGGGTGAAAATGCCATGGTAACCCCGCCCGCCCTAACGGGATACGCCGGCGGAGCACCAGTGAAGGGTGATAGATGAGAATGAAAACAGGCCAGTTAGCCTATCATGATGAATTCATCAGGAATTAACCATGATAGTTTCCAGGGAGAACCGCGAGGAGGTTGACCTGGTTGGGTATATTGCTAGCAATGGGATTCTCAGGCTCCATTACTAACAATCCCTTTCCCCCCAGGACAGGTCAGTTAGCCTATCGTGATAAATTGCACTAGAATTAACCACGATGAACTCTAAGTGGTACCGCGTATTGGTCGACCTGATAGGGTGTATTGCTAACAATGGGTCAGTTAGACTTAGACCCCATTACTCACAATCCCTTTCCCCCCTGATAATGGAATGGTAACCCCATCTGCGTTATCGATATACGCTGGCGAAGCACTAGTGAGGAATGATAGGTAAGAATAAAAGGGTAGGTCAGTTAGCACATCGTGATGAATACACCTAGAATTCAGCACGATAGTTTTTTTTATACCACTGAAGGGGCAAACAAGCATGCGGCCCACCTGGTGGTAAGTAAGTTTTCATGGAGACCATGGGGAGGTCGATCTGACAGGCTAAGAATCCCTTTTCCTTCTGCACTATGATGTTATCTATACTGACAACTTACGGAGAAGTAATAATAATTAATTTATTGTGTTTAAAACACAGACGTATCGAGACTACCGTCTACTTTTTAAAATCACCTAAAAATTACAATTTATTGACATAATTAAGCAAATAAACTAATATTTGTATAATTATACGTCCCAGTAAGTTGCCAGTATAGATAAAGTCATAATGCAATTTAATTGACTATATAAAATGCAATCTTGACCTCCGTGATCACAATAATTTGTTCAACAGGTTGTTCAACAGGCACTGATGATAATTGGTACCATTTCGTATGACCCCACGCCCACTGTAATATTTACGTACTTATATACTATTATATATAGTATACATAATCGTAGTTTTTTTTTTAATTGGCGAAAATGGATTGGTGACCCCGCCCGCGCTATTGGTATACACCGACGAGGCACCAGTAGAAGATGATAAGTGAAAATGAATGCAGGTTAGTTGGCCCACCATGATGAATTCGACAAGAATTAAACATGATGGTTTCCAGGAGGAACCGCGTGGAGGTCAACCTGAGAGGGTATATTGTCAGTAATGGGGCTATTAGACCCCATTACTAACAATCCCTTTCCCCCCACATAATCGTAGTATTACAACTTTATTAATTATATTAAACTAAGTTATCTAGAAAACGTTCTTTTGCTTCCTACCGTCATCTTTTTTTAACGGCATAAAATATTCCATCTCCTAAGTTAGAGTAAATGATCTTTTTACGAAAATTCATTAAATTTGAATGAGCACTTTCCGAAATTTGGTACCATGAATAAATTCCATTAAAGAGTGGAGGAGGGGGGGGAGGGGCAAAGTTAGTAATATGGACTACCAGTCCCATTGCTAGCAATGTATCCTGTTAGGACCCCAGGGTGACCTTTGTGTTGAATTTTAGGTGTACTTATCACGATGGGCTAACTGATCTACCTTTTCATTATCACCTCTCATCCATCATTAGTGCCTCGCCAGCGTATACCGTTGCGCAGACGAGGTTACCATTCCATTATCACAAAGAACTGTGACACGGGAAGAGCGAGAGACCAGATGGCAAGGTGCGCTAAAAAGCGAAAAATAAACTGGAAATCCAGTGCAAAATAAAATTTTGATTATGCCTTTTTAATGTTGATATTTGCAATAAAAGTTTATTTTGAAAATTTCACAAACCAAGAACGTTATATGCTCAAGAAACAATTGAAAAATGTTCAATTTAGTTCGTAGACTTTTTTGTACTTATCATTAATTTTAAAGATATCCTGTTAGTGCGTTTTATATTTCTCCAATGTATAATTACCTCTTAGAATTACCTATATACTTACATAATTAAATATGGCTACGCGCAAGACAAACTATGGCCTTTGACATAGACTATAATTTATATCATAGAGTGTAAGAAGCATGATGATTAAAGTAAATTATGTTGTCTCTATGGATTATTAATTTATATTAAAATCAGAGCAAATATTTACTGTCCAATTTTATTAGCCACTTGATTACTAAATACTTAGTTATTTTTTTATAAAACTTAGAATGGCAAACAAGCTAACGGCCCACCTGATGGAAAGTGGTAACCGTCGCTTATAGACATGAGCAGTACTATGGACATAACAGAGTATACTGTTTCGCCCATGATACCCCCATGTCATTCCTAAGGACTCAGGTGTTATTCCTTTGTACCCTGTAAATTCACGCCATATTCCACCCTTCAAACCGAAACACAGCCATGCAAACACAACTGCTTCACGGTAGAAACACGAATGGGACAGAGGTACCCAAACAATCGACTTTTGTACAAAGTCTTCCTCTGGTAGAATGAAAAAATGAAAATATAATATAATGCACTCGTTTTGCCTTGCAACCTAGCCACCTATCAAATTTTACTCATGGCCATCTTTTTATAGATAACATTATCAAATCCCCATGGTTTGTTAGAATTGAGGAGATACATAACTATTTATAAATCAGTTCTGTTAAAAAAAGAGATAAGGGTGAACAGCGAAATGTATAAACAGTGCCTTATAAATCATACAAATGACCTGGCTGAAGAACTACTCACAGCACAACAATCTACAAGACTGAGACAATGGTTTATATTGAACCCGGAGCTGGAAAAGATTTACAAAGTTATTCTGTTGAAAATTGTCAATGGACTGCTTCTCAAAATGCTAATTTTCATGTAAAATACTATCTGATTATCTGGTTGTTATAGAAGTGTCGATTGCAGATAACGGAACGAGAAAAACAATCTTTTTATAGACAACCCTACGTTGTCGTATAGAAAAAACCATAAATTTCGGTTTAGTGTAGATTTTATCAAAAAGAACCAATTCTCTTTAACCATACAACATTGTAATTATATACATCGTGTTTACTCACGTTTTAGTAAATTATGAGATACTTAATTACAATTCAGTATGATTCACAATAGTTATTATTCACCTACAGCAACATTATTTAGAACAAAACTTTAGATTCTGGCAACATTTAAATGTGGCCATTTTTATAGGCAACCATATGTTACCATATATAGAAAAGAATAAACTTTCGTTTGGTGTAATTCGTAACAAAAATCATGATAAGTAATTTATCCAAATTTTCTACTATATTTCAATTGAATTTTCTAATTATTGTTACATATTTTTATGCTTTTGGCGTAATAAAGAGTTAACTAAATAAATAAACTTATTACCTATTTTCACATGGCAACATTATGTTGCGGCTAAGGC